AAGCGGCGGCTCAGAGAAGTGCCGACAAAAGCACTTGTCCCATGAAGGTGGGTTCCTCCCGCGTCCTCAGTTTAACTCTGCTGTTCCAGAGGGAATGGCTGACTCGTTCAGGTCGCCAGGGATTTGCAGATTTTGGATTTACCCGCCCCAGATCAGCCTGTGGCGGGCCAGTCCGGTCCTGCTCGTGCCCCCAGCCTCTGTTCGCCAGCAAAAGCTGCGGGTTCAGGGACATCCTTAGTGGCACTTCAGACTTGTGACCATGAAGAGAGCCATAGCTCATCTCCTACTGGTCTCTGCTGGTTTCCCTGTAGCTGTCCAGCTGGTTTTGAAGCAACTTCTAAATACAAGGTTGATGGCGGCGGTGTTTTTGTTCTTTTAAGACAGCCCTTGCGTTAGTTCTCAGTTAACTTTCTCGGACGCGTTTCTCTCTTTCTTTGACATGTTTTCCTCTCCTCTTCCTGCAGAGCTGACACAGGCTGTTCTATCCAGCCTGCTTTCTTCCTGTAAGAGGAAAACTCTTCAACTTGGCACCCCAGGATCTGCCTAGATCTGCCTTTGGGGCTCTACACAGTTGCTGAATGAACACTTGTCTTTCCTTTGCAGGATGGAAATCCATTTGGTCCCTTCTGGGATCAGTTCCAAGTGAATTTTGATAAGTCCGAGCTCTTCAAGGGAATCTCCTTCAGTCCTGCGTACAAGGACCACTGGATCCAAAGGTAGTGAGAAGAGGGAAAAGTGCTGGCGGTGCCACTGCGGGCACTGGAGTAATGCATGGAAACGGTCGTGCTGGTCGCTGTGTTGGGGCAGAGACGAAAGTGGTTAGTTAGCAATATAATTAAAAACCTTCCTGCTTTTCCATGAAATGTCTGCTGAGCACGATCTGCCTGCAGCAGCATTAAGTGTGAGCTGCTGGGCTGATTGATTTCTGAGCCACTAGTATTTAGTCACAGTATTTATTAGCTACATATTTAATTATTTTCCAAAAATAATTTAGTTCTGAGTTGCTGATCATTAACTGCGTTTTGCTGGTTGCTTCATCTTCTCAGCACTGTGAGTGACTTTGGTGGTACCAGTAAGTTGGGGTGACAGAATTGCTCTGGTCTGGGGTGAAAACATGAGCTGTCACTGCCATGTCTGTGAGATCCTGGTCTTTGTGTCTGTGAGGTAAAAGGGCTGAGGTCAAGGGCAGTACCTGAGTTCTCGTCAATGTTGTGTGCAGGTGGCAAAGTAGCTAAAATCGATCTAAATTGGGAGCAGTAGATGCTGCATGTTTCAGGACATTCCTCGTTTCCGTTCTAAGCTTCACAGGAGTCTGTGTGCAGGATGGTGCGTGCGGGGTTACGTCATGTTTCATCTGCTGGGTGTTTTTTCCCGTAGATTTTCACCGTCTGAGCACCCTGTGCTCGCCTTACCTGGAGCTCCGGCCCAGTTTCCAGTCCTAGAGGAGCACCGGCCGCTCCATAAGTACATGGTGTGGTCTGATGCAATGGTGAAGAGAGGAGAAGCCTATATTCATTCTCTGCTGGTCAGGCCCTACGTGGGAATTCACCTGCGGATCGGCTCCGACTGGGTATGGCTCCTGTGTGAGGCTGGTTGCTGTAGCCTGTGCTGGTGCCGTAGCCCGGTGGCTTGTGCTCTGTGGAGGAAGCTGCCCAAAGAGGAGCGGCGCTTCTGGGGTGGCAGCCCGAACCCCCCTGGCACTCAGTGACTCCCTGC